TATCATTAGGAACAACAACAACAATAATAATAACAACAACAATGAGGATGGCAGTGTCCAAAATAAGCAGGGCCTGAGAGGCACTGAGATCATGAGTAAGCCTCATCATTATCATTAGGAACAATAATAATAACAACAACAACAACAATGAAGATGACAGTGGCCGAAATAAGCAGGGCCTGAGAAGCATTGAGATCATGAGTAAGCCTCATCATTATCATTAGGAACAACAACAACAATAATAACAATAATGAGGATAACAGTGGCTGAGATAAGTAGGGTCTGAGAGGCATTGAGATCATGAGTAAGCCTCATCATTATCATTAGGAACAACAACAATAATAACAATAATGAGGATGACAGTGGCCGAAATAAGCAGGGCCTGAGAGGCACTGAGATCATGACTAAGCCTCGTCATTATCATTAGGAACAACAATAATAATAATAATAATAACAATAATGAGGATGACAGTGGCCGAAATAAGCAGGGCCTGAGAGGCATTGAGATCATGAGTACGCCTCGTCATTATCATTAGGAACAACAACAACAACAATAACAACAACAATGAGGATGGCAGTGCCCAAAATAAGCAGGGCCTGAGAGGCATTGAGATCATGAGTAAGCCTCATAATTACCATTAGGAACAACAACAACAACAACAACAACAACAACGGCAGTGCCCTAAAGAACCTGTCCGAACGAATCTCCCCTTATGAGGATTTTAAGATCACCTGGAGAGGCCCTGCTCTCGGTCCCGCCATCATCACAAGTACTGTTGGGAGGAACGAGAGACAGGTCCTTCTCAGTGGTGGCCCCTTGGCTATGGAATGCCCTTCTTAGGGAGATTAGATCGGTTTCCTTGCTCCTATCATTCTGGAAGAATCTTAAGACATGGCTATTTGAGTAGGCATTTGAGAATACGGAGTAACGGATATAATAACGGAATAACTATATGACGGAACTGGACATTGTTTTAATGAATATAGATTGAAGTACATTTCATTATGTTTGATTTTATTATTGCTGATGTTTTTATATTGTATATTGTAATCTGTGTCCTTAATGGCATTGAATTCTTGCCTTGTAAACTGCCTCGAGTTGCCGGAGGGCTGAGAGGGGCGGTATAGAGATATACTAAATAAATAAGTAAATAAGCAGGACCTGAGAGGTATTGAGCTCATGAGTAAGCCTAATCATTATCGTTAGGAATAATAATAATAATAATTATAATAATAATAATAATAATAAGGATGGCAGTGCTAGAAATAAGCAAGGCCTGTGAGGCATTGAGATTATGAGTAAGCCTCATCATCATTATCATTAGGAATAGTAATAATAATAAAAATGGGAAAGATAGCAGTGTCTGGAGAAAACAGGGCCTGTGAGACAGTACCAAAATAAAGCAGGGCCTGTGAGGCATTGAAATATTTACGAGGGCTAATAATCAGCATCGGGAATAAAAATAACCACAACAACAACAAGAAGGATGGCTTTGCTTGAGGGAAAGAACGCCTGTGAGGCAATGAGATCATGACTAGGGCTAATAGTCAGAATAAGGAATGGTGATGACAATAGTAGTAGTAGTAGTAGTAGTAATAATAATAATAATAATAATAGGGGTAACAGTGCGCAAGGGAAACAGGGCCTGTGAGGCATCAATATCATGGGTAATGCTTATCATCATAATCTTAATAACGAAAGAAGAAGCAGAAGAAGGATGGCAGTGCCTTAGGAAAATAGGGACTGGGTGGCATTGAGAGGAAGTAACAACAACAACAACAACAACAAGTAAGTAAGTAAGGCATTGAGAGTAAATAAGGCTCAGCAGTAGCACCAGGAATGCTGCTGCTGCTGATGATGATAACAGGAAAGATAGGAAAGATGGTGGGAGGCATTGAGAACACAGTAAGTAAAAAAGTACTAATAATAACAAGTAAGGCATTGAGAGTAAGTGAGGTTTATCATCAGCACCAGGAATAATGATAATAACAACAATAATAGTAATACTAATAAGGATGGTGGGAGGGATTGAGATTAAGTAATAAGTAATAATAAGTAAGGCATTAAGATTAAGTGAGGCTCAAAAGTAGCATCAGGAATTATGATAGTAGGAAGGTTGGTGAGAGGCACTGAAATTAAGTAGTAAGAATAATAATAATAGTACTAAGCAATCAGGAAGGCATTAAGAGTAAGTAAGCCTCAGCATCAGCATCAGGAATAATAATGATGCTGATGCTGATAAGGAGGAAAAGGAGGAGGAGGCATTGAGATTAAGTAACAATAATAAGTAACAGGTAAGGCACTGAGAGTAAAGAAGAAGAAGAAGAAGAAGAAGAAGAAGAAAGATTGTGGGAGGTATTGAGATTAGGTAATGGTAATAATATTAAGTAAAGCATTGAGAGTAAGTGAGGCTCATCAGCAGCATCAATAATAATAATAATAATAATAATAATAATAATAATAATAATAATAATGGGAGGCATTGAGATTAAATAATAATAATAATAATAATAATAATAATAATAATAATAATAAGTAAGGTATTGAGAGTAAGTGAGGCTCATCAACAGCATCAGAAATAATGGCAATAATAGTAACAATAATAATGGGAAGCATTGAGATTAAAGAAGAAGAAGAAGAAGTGCACTGAGAGTAAGTGAGGCTCATCAGCAGCATCAGGAATAATGGTAATAATAATAATAATAATAATAATAATAATAATGGGAGGCATTGAGATTAAATAATAATAAAAAGAAGAAGAAGAAGCAGAGGAGGAGGAGGAGGAGGAGGAAGAAGAAGAAGTAAGGCATTGAGAGTAGGTAAGGCTCATTGGCAGCATCCGGAATAATGGTAATAATAATAATAAAATAATAATAATGGGAGGCATTGAGATTAAATAATAATAATAATAATAATAATAATAATAATAAGTAAGGCATTGAGAGTAGGTAAGGCTCATCAGCAGCATCAAGGATGATGATGATGATGATGATGATGATGATGATGATGATGATGATGAGGATGAGGATAAGAAGGGTGATGGGGGCCTGAGGGAAACAAGGTCTGGGGGGCATTGAGATCACGAGAAAGAATAATGTAAAAATGACATAACAATAACAACAATAATATAATATCATCATCATCATGACAATCTCATAGAATAATAATAATAATAATAATAATAATAATAGCAAGAACAATAATAGGAATCATCATCAGCATAATTAATAATAATATTAGGATGGATGGTGGGCCTGAAGGAAACAGGGCCTGGAAGGCATTGAGATCATGTGAAAGGCTAACATATTAATCACATAGCAACAATAATAGTCATGACAATCTCATAGAATAATAATAACAATAATCATAGCAACAATAATAAAAGGAAAGCCTGGCCCTGCAAGGCATCAAATCCATGAATCAGGATAATATCATCAATAACAATAATATCAATAATATTAACAATGGGAAGAATGGCCTTGCCCCTCAATAAGAGGGTAATATTCCAACCATTACCTTCAGGAATAATAATAATAATAATAATGGGAGGCATTGAGATTAAAGAAGAAGAAGAAAAGAGGAGGAGGAGGAGGAATAATAATAATAGCAACAATATTTCAACCATTACCTCTAGGAATAATAATTATTATTAGTATTCATATTTCATATTATGCCCTTTACCAATAATAATAATAATAATGGACTTTCCCCCTTAGTAAGAGGATAATATTGTAACCATTACCTTCAGGAATGATAATAATAGTTCATATTATGCCCTTTACCAATAATAATAATAATAATAATAATAATAGGAAGAAGAATGGCCTTGCCCCTTAGTGAGAGGATAATATTCCAACCATTACCTTCAGGAATAACAGTAATAGCGACAATATTCCAACCATTACCTTCAGGAATAATAATAATAATAAATATTTCGTATTATGCCCTTTACCAATAATAATAATAATAATAATAATAATGGACTTTCTCCCTTAGTAAGAGGATAATATTCCAACCATTACCTCCAGGAATAATAATAATAATAATAATAATTCATATTATGCCCTTTACCAATAATAATAATAATAATAATAATAATAATGGCCTTGCCCCTTAGTAAGAGGATAAAATTCCAACCATTACCTCCAGGAATAATAATAATATTAATAATAATTCATATTTCATATTACGCCCTTTACCAATAATAATAATAATAATGGGAGGCACTGAGATTAAATAATAATAAGAAGGAGGAGAAGCAGAGGAGGAGGAATAATAATAATAACAGCAACAATATTCCAACTATTACCTCCAGGAATAATAATAATAATAATAATAATTCATATTATGCCCTTTACCAATAATAATAATAAGAAGAAGAAGAAGAAGAAGAATGGCCTTGCCCCTTAGTAAGAAGATAATATTCCAACCATTACCTTCAGGAATAATAATAATATTAATAATAATAACAACAACAATATTCCAACCATTACCTTCAGGAATAATAATAATAATAATTATTATTATTCATATTTCATATTATGCCATTTACCAATAATAATAATAATAATAATAATGGACTTTCCCCCTTAGTAAGAGGATAATATTCCAATCATTACCTCCAGGAATAATAATAATAAAAATAATAGCAACAATATTCCAACCATTACCTTCAGGAATATTAATAATTATTATTCATATTTCATATTATGCCCTTTACCAATAATAATAATAAGAAGAAGAATGGCCTTGCCCCTTAGTAAGAGGATAATATCCCAACCATTACCTTCAGGAATAATAATAATAATTCATATTATGCCCTTTACCAACAATAATAATAATAATTATTATTATTATTATTATAGGTAAAGGGCATAATATGGAATAATATTGGGGGAGGGGTGCCAATGCAGGACCAAAGAGCCTCCCTGAGGAGGAGGAGGAGGAGGAGGAGGAGGGGGAAAGGGCTGGGCCTTGTCTCCTGTCTCTCTCGTCTCACCAGAGGCTGCATCTCGGCCCTGACGGCGGGCACTTGGAAGCGGTCCATCTCCTCCATCATGGTGCCGGCGGGGGAGGGAAGGAGAAGGCCAGGCCCAGGACGAGGACGAGGAGCGGGGAAGAAGAGGGCCTCGGCCTCAGGGACGCCGCATCCCCGAGAACAAGGAGGAGAACGGAGGAAGGCGCCCTTCTCCTCCTCCTTCTTCTTCTCCTTCAGTCAGTGACTCAGCCCAGCGCCTGCTTTGCTCTCTCCCTCTCTCTCCCTCACATCTCCTCAGAGTCTGGCACCGCGCATGCGCGGGGAGGGCAACCCAACGGCCGCGCGGCGCTTCCTCTCCGGAACGCCTCATTCCCCCTTCGCCAATGGCGCCCGTATCCCCGCCCATCTTATCTACATATCCATCGGGATAGGGCCAGGCCCGGCTCGCTCCGCCTCGCTCATGAATAATTCAATAAGAACCGCACCCGGCGGGTCCCTCTCCAACAAAGCCCCGCCCATCTTATCTACATATCCATCGGGATAGGGCCAGGCCCGGCTCGCTCCGCCTCCCTCATGAATAATTCAATAAGAACCGCACCCGGTGGGTCCTTCTCCAGCAAAGCCCTGCCTATCTTCTTATCTACATATTCATAGCCCCGCCCATCTTATCTACATATCCAACAGGATAGGGCCGGGCCCGGCTTGCTCCGCCTCCCTCATGAATAATTCAATAAGAACCGCACCCGGTAGGTCCTTCTCCAGCAAAACCCGAAGCCCCGCCCATCTTATCTACATATTCATAGCTCTGTGACTGTAACGGGATGGGATTGGTCTAAGCCCGGTTCGCTCCGCCTCCCTCATGAATAATTCAATAAGAACTGCACCCGGTAGGTCCTTCTCCAGCAAAGCCCGAAGCCCCTCCCATCTTATCTACATATTCATAGCTCTGCGACTATACCGGGACGGGATAGGGCTAGGCTCTGTTCGCTCCGCCTCCCTCATGAATAATTCAATAACAGTCCTCCTCCTGTGAAGCCCGCAGCCCCACCCATCTTCTTATTTACATATTCATTCCGAGACGGGATAGGGTGAGGCCTGGCTCGCTCCGCCTCCCTCATGAATAATTCAGTAACTGTTCTTCTCCAGTGATGCCCGCAGCCCAGCCCATCTTTGATCTACATATTCATAATCTGTGAATACGGATAGGGCGAGACCCGCCACGCCGCTCCGCCTCCCTCATGAATAATTCAATAACTTCTTCTCCAAGGATACCCGCAGCCCCGCCCATATTCATAATCTGTGTGTACGGATAGGGTGAGGCCTGACTGGCTCCGCCTCCCTCATGAATAATTAAATAAGAACTTCAGTGGCGCCCGCAGATCCGCCCCTTAATCTACATATTCATAGCCCAGCGCCCCTGAGCGGGAAGCGGATAGGGTGAGGCCTGTCTGGCTCCGCCTCACTCATGAATAATTCAATGTCTTTCTTCAGTGGCGCCCGCAGATCCGCCCCTTAATCTACATATTCATAGCCCAGCGCGCCTGAGCGGGAAGCGGATAGGGCGAGGCCTGGCTGGCTCCGCCTCCCTCATGAATAATTCAATAACTCCTCCTCCAGTGGCGCCCGCAGATCCGCCCCTTAATCTACATATTCATAGCTCAGCGCCCCTGAGCGGGAAGCGGATAGGACGAGGCTTGGCTGGCTCCGCCCCGTCATGAATAATAATCAATCAGAGGCGCTCTTCCTCTGTCTCCCAACAGGGGGATCGTACCATTCGGCATGAAAGGGAGGGGGGAAATGGAAGTGTCCAATTAGAACCCAAAGGGGGAGCAGCAACTTCCGGCTGGTTGCTACGGAGACCGATATCAACTTCCGGCAGCTGTTCAAAAGCGAGGAAGGCTTGAAATCGTGAGAAGGAGGAGAGTGTTCCCAAGATGCCGGCCAAGGAGAAGGGCAAGCGCAAGCAGGTACCGGGAAAAGACCAATATGATTCAATAATGTATATGCTATTTTGTATATTTTGTATATTTCCTTATATAATATTTTATATTAATATTTATTCGTACATTTTATATTCCTTTATATATTATTTTATACTATATATATAAATATAAATCTAAAATATAAATTTATTTATATATTATTTCTATATTTTGTATATTTCTTTATATAATATTTTAGATTAATATTTAGGTTCTTGTAGGTTTTTTTGGGCTATTTGGCCATGTTCTAGAGGCATTCTCTCCTGACGTTTCGCCTGCATCTATGGCAAGCATCCTCAGAGGTTGTGAGGTCTGTTGGAATTAGGAAAATGGGCTTATATATCTGTGGAATGGCTGGGGTGGGGCAAAGAGCTCTTCTCTGCTGGAGCCAAGTGTGAATGGTTCCACTGACCACCTTCATTAGCATTTGAAGGCCTGGCTGAGCCTGGGGCAATCTTTTTTTGAGAGGTGATTAGATGTCCTTGTTTGTTTCCTCTCTATTGTTGTGCTGTTATAATTTTAGAAGTTTTTTTTTAGTACTGGTAGCCAGATTTTGTTCCTTTTCATGGTTTCTTCCTTTCTGTTGAAATTGTCCACATGCTTGTGGATTTCTCTGTGTAGCCTGACATGGTGGTTGTGAGAGTGGTCCAGCATTTCTGTGTTCTCCAATAATAATCCACTGTGTCCAGGCTGGTTCATCAGGTGCTCTGCTATGGCTGACTTCTCTGGTTGAAGTAGTCTGCAGTGCCTTTCATGTTCCTTGATTCGTGTCTGGGCAATGCGGCTGCGTTTGGTGGTCCCTCTGTAGACTTCTTGTCCACAGCTGCATGGTACACGGTAGACTCCTGCAGAGGTGAGAGGATCCCTCTTGTCCTTTGCTGAACGTAGCATTGGTTGGATTTTCTTGGTGGGTCTGTAGATAGTTTGTATGTTGTGTTTCCTCATCAGCTTCCCTCTGCGGTCAGTGGTTCCCTTGAAGCTGATGAGGAAATATACAAACCATCTCCAGACCCACCAAGAAAATCGAACAGATGCTACGTTCTCACTTCTGCAAAAGTCTACCGGATACCATGCAGCTGTGGACAAGTCTACATAGGTAGGTAAAGGTAGTCCCCTGACATTAAGTCCAGTCATGTCTGACTCTGGGGTGTGGTGCTCATCTCCATTTCTAAGCCGAAGAGCCAGCGTTGTCCGTAGACACCTCCGAGGTCATGTGGCCGGCATGACTGCATGGAGCGCCGTTACCTTCCCGCCGGAGCGGTACCTATTGATCTACTCACATTTGCATGTTTTCGAACTGCTAGGTTGGCAGAAGCTAGGGCTGACAGCGGAAGCTCACGCCGCTCCCCGGAATCGAGCCTGCGACCTTTCGATCAACAAGCTCAGCAGCTCAGTGCTTTAACCCACTGTGCCACCGGGGGGTCCTACGCCACCGGAGTCTCCATAGGGACTACCAAACGCAGCATTGCCCAAACATGAATCAAGGAACATGAAAGGCACTGCAGACTACTTCAACCAGAGAAGTCAGCCATAGTAGAGCACCTGATGAACCAGCCTGGACACAGCATATTATTTGAGAACACAGAAATGCTGGACCACACCAACAACCACCATGTCAGACTACACAGAAGAAGCCATTGAAATCCACAAGCATGTGGACAATTTCAACAGAAAGGAAACCATGAAAATGAACAAAATCTGGCTACCAGTATTTAAAAAAACTCTAAAATTACAACAGCAAAACAGCAGAGAGAAACAACCAGGCACATCTTAACACCTCTCAACAAAAGATTTTCCCAGGCTCAGGCAGGCCTTCAAATGCCAATGAAGGTGGTCAGCTGAAACATTCACACCCAGCTCCAGAAGAGAAGAGCTCTTTGCCCCACCCCAGCCATTCCACAGATATATAAACCCATTGTCCTAACTCCAACAGACCTCACTCCCTCTGAGGATGCTTGCCATAGATGCAGGCGAAACGTCAGGAGAGAATGCCTCTAGAACATGGCCCTATAGCCCGAAAAAAAACCCACAAGAACCTAGTGATTCCAGCCATGAAAGCCTTCGACAATTTATATGTTATTTCTATATTTTGTATATTTATTTATATAATATTTTATATTAATATTTAATCGTATATTTTATATTACTTTATATATTATATATTATATATTATATAATATATAATATATTATAATATAATATAATATTATATATATATAATATATAATATAATATATTATATTATATAATATATCATACTTTATATATTATATTTTATATATATTTTATATATATATTATATATTATATTTATTATATATATATAAATCTAAAATATGAATTTATTTATATTACATTATTTTTGCAAAATTTTATATTTGTTTTATATAGTTTTCATATATAGGAAAAGCTAACAAATTCATATTAAACTATATATATATATATATATATATATATATATATATATATATATATAAGATAAGAACTGCACCCGGCGGGTCCCTCTCCAACAAAGCCCCGCCCATATATATATTGTTTTCAATTAATTTAGTATTTGTTTTATATTTTACATTTATTTATATATTATATTATATTTCATGTTTCTGTTTACCCTTCCTTTGTATTTATATTTATTTAAATTTTATATTTTAGAATTTATTTATATATATCAATTTATTTAATATTTGTTTTATATTTTACATTTTTTATTATTATTTTATATTTCATGTTTCTGTTTAGCCTTCCTTTGTATTTATATTTACTTAGATATGATATTTAAGAATTAGATTTATTTATATATATTACATTATCATTATATTTTTATGTATTGTTTTATATTTATATTTTATATTTATTTATATATTTATATTTATGCATATAGTTTTATATTTTACACTTATAGTTATACTTATTTATATATTGTTTTAGATTTATATTTATGTATATATTTATATTTATGCATAAATTTTATATTTTACATTTATTTATATATTATTGTATATTTCATGTTTCTGTTTACCCTGCCTTTGTATTTATATTTATTTAGATGTTATATTTTAGAATTAGATTCATTTATATATATTACATTATCATTATAGTTCTTTATATATTGTTTTAGATTTATATTTTAAATTTATATTTATATTTTTATTTTTATATTTATGCATATATTTTTATATTTTAGATTTATAGTTATATTTATTTATATATTGTTTTAGAATTATATTTTAGATTTATATTTATTTATACATTTATGTTTATGCATATTATTTTATATTTATAGTTGGTTATATTTTATTTTATAGCTATTTATCTATGATTTTTATTTTCCTATTTTATTTTTCTATTCATTTATAAATATTAATATATTTACCATTCTTTGGTATGTTCTCAGTTAACCAGAATTCTCAGGCAGCCGGCAAAAAACACATCAAAGGAGTAATACTTTTTTTAAAAAAAATCCTGTGTTTATAATTTGTATAAGGTAAAGGTAGACCCCTGACATTGTTGTTGTTCATTCGTTCAGTCGTCTCCGACTCTTCGTGACCTCATGGACCAGCCTACGCCAGAGCTCCCTGTCGGCCGTTACCACCCCCAGCTCCCTCAAGGTCAGTCCAGTCCCTTCAAGGATGCCATCCATCCATCTTGCCCTTGGTCGGCCCCTCTTCCTTTTGCCTTCCACTTTCCCCAGCATAATTGTCTTCTCTAGGCTTTCCTGTCTCCTCATGATGTGGCCAAAGTACTTCAACTTTGTCTCTAGTCTCCTTCCATCCAATGAGCAGTCGGGCTTTATTTCCTGGAGGATGGACTGGTTGGATCTTCTCGCAGTCCAAGGCACTCTCAGAACTTTCCTCCAACACCACAGCTCAAAAGCATCTCTCTTCCTTTGCTCAGCCTTCCCGAAGGTCCAGCTCTCACATCCGTAGGTTACTACAGGGAATACCATGGCTTTGACTAGGCAATGGATCTTTGTTGCCAGTGTGATGTCTCTACTCTTTACTATTTTATCGAGACTGGACATTGCTCTCCTCCCAAGAAGTAAGCGTCTTCTGATTTCCTGGCCACAGTCTGCATCTGCAGTAATCTTTGCACCTAGAAATACAAAGTCTGTCACTGCCTCCGTGTTTTCTCCCTCTATTTACCACTTATCAATCAGTCTTGTTGCCAGAATCTTGGTTTTTTTATGTTTAGCTGCAACATGGCTTTTGCACTTCTTTCACCTTGATTAGAAGGCTCCTCAACTTCTCCACACTTTCGGCCACCAAAGTGGTATCATCTGCATATCTAGGTTGTTAATGTTTCTTCCAGCAACTTTCACCTCAGCTTTGCATTCATCAAGCCCCGCGCATTGCATGATGTGTTCTGCATACAAGTTAAAAAGGTTGGGTGAGAGTATGCAGCCTTGCCGTACGCCTTTCCCAATCTTGAACCAGTCTGTAGTTCCGTGGTCAGTTCTGACTGTTGCTACTTGTTCCTTGTACAGATTCCTCAGGAGAGAGACAAGGTGCCTTGGTATGCCCATCCCACCAAGAACTTGCCACAATTTATTATGATCCACACAGTCAAAGGCTTTAGAATAGTCAATGAAGCAGAAGTAGATGTTTTTCTGAAACTCCCTGCCTTTCTCCATTATCCAGCGGATATTGGCAATCTGGTCTCTCGTTCCTCTGCCTTTTCTAAATAACTAGACATTAAGTCTAGTTATTTCTAACTCTGGGGTGTGGAGCTCATCTCCATTTCTAAGCCAAAGAGCCGGCATTGTCCGTAGACACCTCCAAGGTCATGTGGCCAGCATGACTGCATGGAGCGCCGTTACCTTCCCGCCGGAGCGGTACCTATTGATCTACTCACATTTGCATGTTTTTGAACTGCTAGGTTGGCAGAAGCTGGGGATGACAGTGGAAGCTCACCCTGCCTCCCAGATTCGAACCTGTGATAACAACAACAATAAAGAATTAAAATAAAACTCGTATATAAAAAAGCAAT